TAAGTATTTTTTTTACTATCTCCTTGTGGTATTTCTTCTGGAATGCATTTACTTATTTATGTGTATATTTATTTATCATTTTCTTTCTTTAAATAAATGTGGATTAAGCATGTTGGTTGTCAGCTATTTGAGATGAGGGGATTTGATAGTTTTGTGATATAGAGACTTTGGAATTGAAAATTTATTTGAAATTAAGGTAGCTTGTTTTGCATAGAATCGTCGGGAATCATTTTAGATTATTGTGCCGTAATAGATTATCGAACGGTAAACCGTGTTAGACTATCGAACGGTAAACTGAGTTAGACCATCGAACAGTTCATTTTTTTTATTTATTTTGTCGTAATAGAGTATTGAACGACCAGTTGATATTTATGTGCCACAGTCATGTGGGATTGAGAAATTGTTTTACTGATGAGTTTCTTTATATTTGTTTCATCCAATATAATTTAATTACTTATTTTATATCACTTTTTAATTAAGATAATTATGCTTGGTTGTACTAGTTGGGTATGCTACTTATTGGGCATGTGGAGCTCACATTGTTTTATTTAATGTCTTCAGATACTAGACATGGAGCATCTGGGAGGCAGGGGAATTAGAGAGCCACCTTAGAAATGGACTATTTACTTCTTTCCCATTATGTTTAGCATTCGTGGACATTTGAAATAAAGAGATTTTAATTTAGTGCTAGTTATACTTTAGATTTTTGGTGTAGAATTGACTTTAGATGCTGGAGTATTATTATCATATATATTTTTCTATTAATTTTCTTAAAAGTGAAGAATAAATTTTATGCAAAGCTGCAGGGATGAATTTTAGAGACTGATTTAGCCTTACATGCTTTTGGGGTCACTCCTAAAGGTATGTGGCATTGTCATGTCCTAACCCCTAAGTTAGGGGCGTGACAATTTTTGGTATCAAAGCAAGGTTGAGACCTCTAGGGCTAGGGTTGGTTTTGTAGCCTAGTACATGGTTTGTGAGAGTGGGGTAGGAATAGAAATGGGTCATACTGCATATGTTATTAATTAAATAATATTTGTTTAATATTGTTTTGTGGTTAAAATCTTTGTTGTCCATTTTGTAAGTAGACTTGGTGAAAGGCTATGGCTGGGGGAAATCGTGGAACAGGGCGCAGGGGTAGACCAACCTTAAGTGCGCGTGCTGGTGGGAGAACTCCATTAGTTGTTAGGAGTGAGCCTGTTAATCGAGATGAGGTTGAGGTGGATGATGTTCAAAATGAGTCATTGGACTCTTCTGCAAGGAATCATGATCAACATAATACAAATGTTGGACAAAGTCAACAGTTGGGGCAACAAAATCAACCAAATTTCATGGAAATTATGCAGACTATGGCAAAGACTATGGCTGAACAACAAGAGTTAGTCAAGTCCTTGGCAGAGCAACAAGCAAGGGTAATTGCAGAGCAGCAGGAAAAGGTTTCAACACCACAGCCTATCTAAAAGGGAGGCTTAGCAGATTTTGTTAAGCTTGCTAAGCCTTTCCATGGAGATTCGAAAGATCCACTAGAGGCAGAAAATTGGATCAAGGAAATGGAGAAGACTTTTCGGGGGGCAGAGTGTCACTGAGGAGAATAAGGTGCCATATGCTGCATATTTGTTGAAAGGTGATGCAAATAATTGGTGGGAGGTAGAAGAAAGCAAGCACACTTCCCAAATTGACTAGAGTACCTTCACAGAAGCATTCCTTAAGGAGTATCTACCTGAAAGTGACAGACATGAGATGCAGCAAAAATTTCATACCCTTGTCCAAGGTGACAAGTTTATGAAGGAATATGAGAAGGAATTCAACCAGCTTTTAAAGTTTGCTCCTCTGGCTACTCAAAAGGATGAGGAATCTAGGAGGTTGAAATTTCTCTATGGGCTAAATCCACATATTCTGTCTGAGGTTCAAAAATTTGAAGTAAGTACATATTCTACAACAGTTAACAAAGCTAAAGTGATAGAGCAAGGTCAGAAAGTGGTTATGGCGGCAGAGGAGAGTAGTGTTGGCACTAAGAAACAGAAATGGATGGGTGCCTTAAGCGGGAAAGATTCCACTAATCACAGTTTTATGCAGAGCAAAAGACAAAACACAGGATTTTCTGGAATCGAATGCACCAGGGGGAAATGTTCAGTGTTGGAGATGTCGGGGGCCCTATGAACCCAAGGATTGTAGATGGCTATTAGGTTTGTGCTTTAAGTGTGGTCAAGCTGGGCATCGTGCAGCCAATTGTATTCATGCAAGGTACCCACCAAATTCATGTTTCAAATGTGGGCAACAGGGACATAAGGCCATTAATTGTCCTCAAGGTAGACAAAACACCCAGGTTACTCAACGTGTTTCAGCTAAACAATCAGTTGCCAGTGAGAGAGCATCTACTGCAGGTTCAAGTAAAGGAGTAAGTCAGAAACCTCCAGTTCAAGGTCGTGTTTTTGCTTTGACTCAACAGGATGCGCGAGCATCTAATGATGTAGTGACGGTACACTCTTAGTTTCTTCATCCTATGCACATGCTTTATTTGATACTGGTGCTTCGCATTCATTTGTATCTACTACATTTGCATCAAAACTTGGTGTACCTATTGACTATTTAGAATGGGGGATGTGTGTTAACACCCTAATGGGGGAAAGTTAGTCACTAATCAAGTTTGCAAGTCTTGTTTGGTGCACGTTGAGGGGAGACAACTTCCTGCCAATTTAATTATTCTTGATATGCATGATTTTGATATTATTTTGGGAATGGACTGGCTTGCTCAAAATTATGCTAATTTGGATTGTCATGGTAAAAGGTTAGAATTTCGAATTCCTAGACAACAGGAATTTAGTTTTGTAGGTAACATTAGAAGGTCACCTCCAATGATCCTATCTACATTACAAGCTCATCGATTGTTAAGTAGAGGTTGTGAGGGTTACTTGGCTACTGTTGTTGATAAGGAATTTGATGAATTGCAACTTCAAGACATTAATGTGGTGTGAGATTTCCCTGATGTATTTCCAGATGAATTGTCTGAATTACCACCTAATAGGGAAGTGGAATTTTCTATTGATTTGGTTCCTGGAATAGCTCCAATCTCTAAGGCTCCATATAGGATGGCCCCTACAAAACTCAAGGAGCTAAAGGAGCAATTGCAAGAGCTGTTGGATAAAGGTTTTATAAGGCCGAGTGTGTCACCTTGGGGTGCTCCTGTGTTATTTGTGAAAAAAAAGGATGGAACCATGAGACTCTGTATTGACTATAGAGAGTTGAACAAGGTGACAGTACGTAACAGGTATCTTTTGCCTAGAATTGATGATCTTTTTGATCAGCTGGTGGGAGCTCAAGTTTTCTCTAAAATTGACTTGAGATCTGGATACCATCAATTGAAGATCAAGGGAGAGGATATTCCTAAATCAGCCTTCAGAACCTGCTATAGGCATTATGAATTTTTGGTGATGCCATTTGGGTTAACTAATGCTCCTGCAGCGTTCATGGATTTAATGAATAGGGTGTTTAAGCCTTACTTAGATAAATTTGTTGTGGTGTTCATTGATGATATTTTGGTGTACTCTCGAAGTATAGCAGAACATGAAGAACATTTACGGCTAGTTTTACAAGTTCTAAGGGAGAAAAAGCTTTATGCAAAGCTGAAGAAATGTGAGTTTTGGTTGAATAGTGTTGCATTTTTAGGACATGTAGTGTCTAAGGATGGAATTTCAGTAGATCCGGAAAAGGTTAAAGCAGTGGTAGAATGGAGTAGACCTACTAATGTGACTGAAGTTCGGAGCTTCTTGGGCTTAGCTGGGTATTATAGAAGATATGTGGAGGGATTTTCTCGTATTGCAATTCCATTAACTCAATTAACGCAAAAGGGTGTGAAGTTTGAGTGGACAGATGAATGTGAACAAAGTTATCAAGAGTTGAAGAGTAGATTGGTCTCAGCACCTATTCTGACCATTCCTGATGATAATGGTGGTTTTACAATTTTCAGTGATGCTTCAATGAAAGGGTTGCGTTGTGTTTTGATGCAACATGGCAAGGTGGTAGCTTATGCCTCAAGACAGTTGAAACCATATGAGAGGAATTATCCAACTCATGATCTCGAACTAGCAGCAGTTGTTTTTGCTCTTAAAATTTGGAGACATTATTTATATGGTGAGAGGTGTGAGATATTTACTGATCATAAAAGTTTAAAATATATTTTCACACAAAAGGAGTTGAATATGAGACAGAGGAGATGGTTGGAGTTACTAAAGGATTATGATTTGGTAATCAATTACCATCCTGGGAAAGCTAATGTGGTAGCTGACGCATTGAGTAGAAAGAACCATAGTATGCTAGCTGTTTTAATTACTTCTCAAAGGTATATCTTGGAAGATTTGATTAAGATGGATGTTAGAGTATATAGGCATGACTTAGATGCACTTTTGGCTAGTTTGCAAGTCCAGCCGACCTTGATCGAGAAGATAAAGATTGCCCAGTTGGATGATCCATTTCTGCAGCAAATGAGAAAAAAGGTGGAGTCCAATGATCCCAAATTGGAATCTTTTAAGATTCATGAAGATGGTTCTATTAGGCACGGTGATCGAATTTGTGTTCCTAATGATTCAGAGTTAAAGGAGGTAATTATGAAAGAAGCTCACAATACTGGGTATACGGTTCATCCTGGAAGTACTAAAATGTACAGAGATTTGCAAGGAACCTTCGGTGGAATAACATGAAAAGGGAAATAGCTGATTTTGTGGCTCAGTGTTTGACATGCCAACAGGTTAAGAGTGAGCATCAAAGACCAGCTGGCAAGTTGCAGCCACTTCCTATTCCAGAGTGGAAGTGGGAACATATAACCATGGACTTTGTCACTGGTTTTCCTGCAACAAAAAATGGAAATGATTCTATTTGGGTTATTGTTGATAGGTTAACCAAGTCTGCCCATTTTCTTCCCTATAAAACAAGAATGCAAATAGAAGGATTTGCAAAGTTATACTTAAAAGAGATTGTGAGGTTGCATGGGATACCGGTGTCTATGGTTTCAGATAGAGATTCTCGTTTTGTTTCTCATTTATGGGGCAGCATACACAATGCTTTAGGAACAACTCTTAATTTTAGCACCGCTTATCATCCACAAACAGATGGACAATCTGAAAGAACCATTCAGACTTTGGAAGACATGTTGAGAGCATGCGTAATTGATAAGGAAAATTCTTGGGATCATCATTTACCTCTCCTAGAATTTGCTTATAATAATAGTTACCATGCAAGTATTAAGATGGCTCCATATGAGGCTTTGTATGGGAGGAGGTGCAAGTCTCCAATATGTTGGACAGATGTTGGGGAAAGGAGTTTGTTGGGCCTAGAGTTGATCCAGCAAGCTACAGAGAAAGTTCATCTTATACGAGAGCATCTTCGTGTTGCACAAAGTAGGCAAAAGAGTTATGCAGATAATCGGAGACATGATTTAGAATTTGCTGTGAGAAAGAAGGTATTTTTGAAGGTGTCACCTACTAAAGGTGTTGTGAGGTTCGGTATTCGAGGGAAGCTTAGCCCTCGCTTTATTGGTCCCTTTGAGATTTTAGAAAGGGTTGGAGAAGTGGCTTATAGGTTGGCATTGCCGCCGAATTTATCGGAGGTGCATAATGTTTTTCATGTATCAATGCTAAGGAAGTATGTTCCAGACCTTAGTCATGTGATTGAGCATGTTCCAATCCAGTTGAGAGAAGACCTCTCCTATGAAGAACAACCAATTTGTATTGTTGACCGAAAGGAGCAAGTGTTGAGAAGACGTGTTATACCCTATGTTAAGATTCAATGGAGTAATCATACAGAGCGAGAAGCAACATGGGAGTTGGAGGAAGATGCTAGGAAAAAATACCCGCAACATTTTGATGAACAAGTTTTGAGTTTAAGGACTAAACTCTTTTAAGAGGGGAAGAATGTAATACCCATAATTTTTATTATTGCTATTATTATTTAATTCCTTAAGGATGTGTATGCAATAAGGTGGAAATATGAGGACTTATGTGTATAATGGTAATAAAGATGAAGGAGTGGCTTGTAAAATGTGCAAAACTTAACCTAGAAATTTAAGAATAGCATGATTTTTCTGGAGAACCGGGGGAAGGGGCTGTGGGTTTCCCTCACTCAAAAGAGCAGTAAGGTGACTGCACAAATTGGGGGAAAATAGTTGCTAAGTCCATTCAAGGTAAATTTCCTTAGTTTTATAATGATTTCTTGGTTTTAATTTAGGAAGTATCTTGAAATTGTGGAATAGATTTTGGGAAAGGATGGTTCTGTCGAAGAGGGCTTTGGGTTTTATTTGTGTTGTTAAGTTAATGGAAATTGACTTGTCTAAAGTAGTCTTATGAGGTTGGCTTGCAAGTTTAGCATGGTATATTGAATTTTTATTGTGGTCGTCCATTTCTTCTTTGGCGGGGCAGAGAAGTGGGAAGCTTTCATGGCTGATGTGTGAAATTTAATGAGTATTTTATTATATCAAAAATTGTAAAAAAAGGGAAAGCTGCTTATTGGGTGGCGAATTGAGTAGGGATTTTTGGAATTATGTTGATTCATAATTAGAGACATACAGTGTGTGGAATTTGGCTGAAATGAACAATTGTTTGTAGGAAAAAGGGTCTAAATAATTCTTGGCTTTGCATTCATTGGTGTCAGGTCAATAACTGAGGTAAGTGGCATTACCCTTTTTAGAAATGTTGGAAAAATAAATTATTCTTTCACTTGTTATTGCAAAATTAATTTATTTGAAACCTAAGTATTTTTTTTACTATCTCCTTGTGGTATTTCTTCTGGAATGCATTTACTTATTTATGTGTATATTTATTTATCATTTTCTTTCTTTAAATAAATGTGGATTAAGCATGTTGGTTGTCAGCTATTTGAGATGAAGGGATTTGATAGTTTTGTGATATAGAGACTTTGGAATTGAAAATTTATTTGAAATTAAGGTAGCTTGTTTTGCATAGAATCGTCGGGAATCATTTTAGATTAT